TGTGTGCTGAAGATTGGGGAACACACCCCCTCAGCCCTTGCCATCATGGAAAATGCCAACGTTCTGGCCCGTTATGCCAGCATCTGCCAGCAGGTGGGCCTGCACATCCCCAACAGGCCAGCTTCCATCTCATTTGGTTCTAGAGTGTCATCTAGCCTGCCACCCATCTGCCAGGATGTCTGCCTCCCCCAAGGCAGCTGCTCCGGATCCTCACCAGTCATCAGGCTTGAGCCTGTGGAGGACAGTGGAGGGCTTGTGTGGGTTGATCTGAGGAGATCCTGTGTCCTACATCCTGCAAAGCTGAGGGCTTTGAAGCCATGAGTCTCTGTCTTCGTGGAGCTAAGGCCTTGGCCAGTGGTTGTGGAGGGCTGTAGGCAGAGTTGAGGCCTCTAGGGGGTCTCATAGCTACTCTGTCCCTCACCCCACAGAACGGCATCGTGCCCATCGTGGAGCCTGAGATCCTCCCCGATGGCGACCATGACTTGAAGCGCTGTCAGTATGTAACTGAAAAGGTAGGTTGCTTCCTGCCTGGGCAGGGTGGTGGGTTGGCAGCTGGGCCAAGGGCCTTGGGGCTGACTCCTGTCCCCCCACTCCGCCCCACCCCACTTTGGTCCTGCCCTACTGTAGGTGCTGGCTGCTGTCTACAAGGCTCTGAGTGATCACCACATCTACCTGGAAGGCACCTTGCTGAAGCCCAATATGGTCACCCCAGGCCATGCCTGTACCCAGAAATTTTCTAACGAGGAGATTGCCATGGCAACTGTCACTGCGCTGCGCCGCACAGTGCCGCCCGCTGTCCCTGGTGAGACCCGCACTCTCATCTTGCCCTCTGGGAGGTAGACAGACGGTATCCACAATCTTTATGCCTGTTGGTCTGGTTTCCAGGCCAGCTGCTGGGAACTCCTAGCAGTCCTCTGGGTCTCGGACTACAACCCCTCTCCCCATTTCACCTTTGTTTTACAGGGATCACCTTCCTATCTGGAGGTCAGAGTGAGGAGGAGGCATCCATCAACCTCAATGCCATCAACAAGTGCCCCCTGCTGAAGCCATGGGCCTTGACCTTCTCCTATGGCCGGGCCCTGCAGGCCTCCGCTCTGAAGGCCTGGGGTGGAAAGAAGGAGAACCTGAAGACTGCCCAGGAGGAATACATCAAGCGAGCGCTGGTGAGGATGGAGCAGCAGGTGGGCAGAGTGCCGGGGTGGATGGGATTCTCAACACAAACCTTACTCTGGCTCCTCTCCCCTCTTAGGCCAACAGCCTCGCCTGCCAAGGAAAGTACACCCCAAGCGGCCAGACTGGGGCTGCAGCCAGCCAGTCCCTCTTCATCTCTAACCATGCCTACTAAGCAGAGGTGATCTAAGGCTGCCCCTCGAACACTCCAGGCCCCACCCCCTGCCACACTCACTCTTGAAGAGGCCTCATCCCGGGCTCCAGGCTGCTCTTTCCCAGCACTTTTGCCTCCCTTGTGACATTGGTTGCGTGGTGTTGTCTGTGTATGCCAACTCCAATGCCCTTTCCAGCCCACTGCCAATAAACAACTATTTAAGGGGGAGTTTCTTGTCCATGTTTGTAGTGTCTGAGTCAGGGGAGTGTCTGGGGAGGTGGCCGAGTCCAGAAGAAAGAGCTCTTGTTTTATGTTCTTCCTTCTTGGGTAGGAAAATGGTGAAGGGATGGGGTAAGACTTTCCTGTTTCGTTTTATAGTTGCCCAGGGTTTCAAGAGGAGAGCTTGTGAAATTTTCTTCAACCATCAGAGGCTCTTACCCCTTCCACTAGCAGCATCAGATAAGGCTCATAGTCGGGGAGTGTGTATAGCTGCTGGTTGTAGGAGGCTGCAGGCTCAGACTCTTAGGCCTAGACCTCAGGGTGCAGAAGGCCCTGTGACAAAAACAGCCACAGACAACAGCTGAGATTGCCTGAGTCTCTGAGCCAGGCAACATGAAAACGTTCTGTATGAGTAGATGTTTTTCCCATTCAAGCTTCAGGCTTTATTGCTGGAGATCACACTCTTTCTTGGTGGAAACAAGAATATTAATGCAGCCTGGCGAGTGTGGTTCAGTGGTTGTGGGTTGACCCATGAACCAAGAGGTCCTCGGTTCGATTCCCACTCAGGGCACTTGCCCGGGTTGTGAGTTCGATCCCCAGTGGGGGATATGCAGGAGGCAGCCGGTCGATGATGTTTTTCTCTTGATGTTTCTGTCTGTCTCTAAAAAATCGATAAAACATACTTTCTTTTTTTTAACGAATATTAATGCAGCCCTGCAGGTGTGGGCCCAGCTAGGTTTCAGAGGTGGAGTGTGGACTTAGGAACCAGGAGGTCATGTTTTGATTGCAGGCTCGAACTCCCTAGGGGCATGCGAGAGGCAGTGGATCAATGATTCTCATCATCGGTGTTTCTCACTCTCTCCCTGTCCCTCTCTGAAATCAATAAAAAGATATTTAAAAAAAAGAATATTAATGCATATTTCCTTAATCTACACTGTTGAGTCTGTCAGTCTTCCCATTTTAATAGGAAATGGGATTAAACTGGCTACTTAGTCTTCTTGGGCTGTGGAACCCCTTGAAGAATCTGGAATCCTCTCCAATGCCAACAATGTGCAGAGACAGAACTCAGGTTCCAGGTTAAGAATGAAGCCTCTAGCAGCTAGCTGCTGCATTCCATGGAGCCAGAACGAGGGCCCTGCACTTACCCCTGTCATGCTGTTGCAGAAAACCGGAAAAAAAATCAAGCAACACTTCGAGTTTGGAATTACACTTTTTTTTAAATCACCGGTGGGCTTAGAGAAAAATAAATTCAAATTCTAAGCAGACCTACAAGCAGAACTTTCCTTTTTATTAAAGAGCCAGCCCTATGTGTGCTTAGTGGTTATCTCGCTGGAAGCTGTGGCCTTGAAAACAACACAGTGATATCCAATTAAAAAATACATCTAGCCAAAACCCGTTTGGCTCAGTGGATAGAGCATCGGCCTGCGGACTGAAGGGTCCCGGGTTCGATTCCGGTCAAGGGCATGTACCTTGGTTGTGGGCATATCCCCAGTGGGAGATGTGCAGGAGGCAGTTGATTGATGTTTCTCATCGATGTTTCTATCTCCCTTCCTCTCTGTAAAAAATCAATAAAATATATTAAAAATAAATAAATAATACATCTGGTATGGCTTGTGAGTATGGGCGTGTCTAGTGTCTGGCCTACAAGGCCAGACAGCTAAGTTTATCTTCCTTATTATTCAAGCAGCCTAGAAAGCAAAGTTATATTTTTAGAATAAGAGGCTGTCTAAAACAGAATTTCAAACAGTAGTTTTACAAAATAGGGGTTAGCCTTCTCTGCCTCGGACCCTCCCCCAATCACCCAGGCTGGGTGCAGCAGTAAATACACCAGATATTCTCAACTGTTGAAGGTCCTAGTCATAACCAGGGACGTAGTATTCCTGCCACTTCTCAGATTTTCTGATATGGACCCTTTCCTGTCTGAGCTTCCTTCTAGAGGAAAAAAAAAAATCTTGGCCTTCTGATCTCTCCGGACCTACTAAATCCATGTAATGATAGATATAGAACTGATTAACCCTAGGACCTTCTAGGAGTTTAAGAACTTGGCCCTGTCCTTCTCTGTACATTTCTATATGTTGCCGACATACAAAATCAACACTCCCACAGCCCCTGCAAACTCTGGCCCTCATTCTGTGCCTACGGTCAACCCTGAAACACCTGAAATAAAGCAAATGGAAACTGAAGGTCATGGAAGACGGTGAAAAGGACGTTCCAAAAGGGAGCACCTTGTACAAGACTCGTTTAAGGACTAGTCGCTTCCTCTGCCTGCAGGAACAGAGACTAGGGGAGCAGAGGAACTCGAATAGCACTGCAGGGAGCTTTGGGCTTCTTATGACTGAACTCTGCAAAGTGTGATTGATGGGTGGAAGCTAAATCAGAACACAGCTGTTCTGGGTTCAAATTTCAACCTTGACTCAAACCCCAATTCTTAGCTATGCAAATGTGAACAAGTTACTTAACCTCTCTAAGCTCGTTTCCTCCTTTAAAAAGAAAAGGGATAAAATGTGAAGACGACAGAAAGCAACGGAGGGGTGTCAAGGGGACCCCGCAATCAGAGGCCATGCGGACCGGCACAGGCGTGGCGGACTTTGTGCCTCTAACGGGGAGGTCTTCCCGGCAGAGTCCCCCGTGGCCGCGGGAGGCGGTCGGGCTGAGGCTGCCTCGCCCACCGGGGAGCATTCGGGGCGCCCGGTACCAGGGCGGGCGGCCGGGGCGAGCCAGGCGAGTCCATCCTCGGGCTGTCATGGCGGAGGCCGACCAACACAGGCCAACAACACGTGTATCCACGTCCCTGGCGGACCCGGCCGGGCCTCGGCCTCCCCAACTGAGCCGGGGGCGACCCGGCCCCGAGATCGCACCCCACGGCCACAGTGACTTCCGCCCGAGGCTGACTTCCGGGTCCCGGCTCCCCTCCGCCCCGGCCCGGAGGTGGGGGCGGGGGCGCGGCGCGGGGCAGGGCGTGTATGACGTCACATCCGACGCGCGGCGGAACTCGCCTCCTTTGCTTCCGCGGAGGGGCCGGAAGTAGAAGCGGCGGCGGCGGCGGCCCGGAGCGGAGGGAAGGAGGGGGAAGGCGGGGAGCCCCGGAGCCGGAGCCGAAGTCGCAGCGGCGGTAAGAGCCGGGGACCCCCTAGACCACCGGCCCCCGCGGGGGCAGCCGGGGCGGTGGGCCGTGAGGGGGGCGGGCCAGCCTCGGAATCGAGCCCCCCCCCGGACCCCCGAGGGACCTTCTCACCCGCTCGCTTCGCCTCTCCCAGGAGAGCCCTGTGGGGCGCGGAGGGGCGGCGGCCCCGGCTCGGACCCGCCGGGGTGGGCCATGGCGGAGATCAGCGACCTGGACCGGCAGATCGAGCAGCTGCGGCGCTGCGAGCTCATCAAGGAGAGCGAAGTCAAGGCCCTGTGCGCCAAGGCCCGGTGAGCCCCGGCGCGGGAGGCCCGCGGCCCCGGCCTGGAAACGCTCCCGGAGGAGAGCGGACGGAGGCCTGGGCCCGAGCAGCCCGCGGGGACGGCAGGCCCGGACCGAGACTTGGAGTGTGGGGGGATGTGTTCAGTGAGGCGGCGAGTGACCGAGAGTACGGGGGACGCGCAGGGAAGCGCCCCTGCTATGTGCCGGGGGGACTGACCTTCGCGGGTAGGCCTTGCAGAGGAAGAGGACACGCAGGAACGTCAGCAAGAACCGAAGTGCAAGGCAGGGACGCTAAAGACCCTGGTTTATAACACAGAGTCCAGCCACAACCCCGGAGGTGGGGCATGGTGCCCCCCTTTGACAGACAGATGAGGGCTCTCCTGTTCAGAGCCAGCCCAGCGAGGGCGGGAGGGAGCCTGAGCCAGTGCTCGGGTCCTGTTCTTTTCAGGCCACGACGCGAGGTGGAGTGAGTGGGGTCCTCTCGTGTGCAGGGTGGGAGCCTGAGACATGGCGGCAAATAGGCCAGAGTAGAATTCAGCGTGAATTCGTGGCACGAGGGAGGCCCGGCTTCGAGCTCTGTGGGAGCAGGAACGCGTAGTGATTAAAATCGCGGGCTCTGGGGGGTCATGGCTGTAGGTTGGAATCTGAGCTTTGCCACTTACTATCTGTGCTGGTGGTCCCCGAGGTCTCCGGAACGCTTTGTTGTTTTTCATCTGTAAGTTGGGCATCATAGTACTGAATAAGACGGCTGGAAGAGTCCGTAAGTTGGTGCTTGGGGTGAAGTTAGCAGAGTGCTTTGGTGCAGCGTGAGTGCTCAGCAATCCTTAGGTGTCACTGCTATCACTGTGTAGGGAGATGGCAGTGCTGGTACGGACTGAAGTCATCGGGGAACTTCTAACAGAAAGTGGCCTTGAAAGAGGGAATAATTAGGGTAGCGGATGGGAGCAGGGCCAGGGAGGGCGGCCGTCCCAGCAGGATGAGAGGAAGATCGGGGGCCCTGAGGTGTGTGGGCAGCCGTGAGGAGACCAGTTACCTGCCTCCTCTGAGGTGCTGTGTGACTGGCTTCCGCCAAACTGGAGACTTGTGAGAAAAGAGCCAGCCTGGCCCGGGTGGCTGAGTGACTGAGCATCGACCTATGAACCAGGAGGTCACGTTTTGATTCCTGGGTGGGGAACATGCCTGGATTGAGGACTTGATCCCCAGAAGAGGATGTGCAGGAGGCAGCCAGTCAATGATTCTTTCTCTTCATTGATGTTTATATCTCCCTCTCCCTCCTCCTCTGAAATTAATAAAAATCTATTTAAAACAGAGAGAGAAAAGAACAGAATTACCCTACACTTACTGAATAGCAGAAGCACTATTAGCCTGGCTTTGTACTGGCAAAGAATTTATATCCATTTCCTCCCCACCACAATCTTGTGAGGTTGGAATTGTTTGCTCCATTTTACAGAACGGAGGCTGTGACTCCTAGAGGCATAGTGACTCGACTAAAGATCACCCAGAGAGAGGGGGGCAGAGCTGGGTGCTGAACTTGTGGCTCTTTGCTTGGCTCCCTCCCACCCCAGACACTCTAGCCCCCAGACAGGGCCTGTGTGGGTTTGGTGAACAGGCAAGGCCCCTTTTTAAATGCTTGTTTGTGGCTCTTCCATGTTTTGTCTGCTTCCTCTGTCTTGATGGCATTTTTAGGAACTTAAACCAATTGCTGCCTGGCACCATTCTTTTTCCCATATGTCTTATCTGCCCCCGTAGGACCTGGATCAATTTGGTGGTGATGATAGCTAAAGCTTGGGAAGCATGGTGGAGTTTCCAGAATAACAGAGAAGTTATATATTTAGTCACCATTGTGTTTTGCAGCAGCCCTACGGAATAGGAGGGCAGGAGTGAGTATTTGAGAAGAGAAATCTGAGTCTTAGAGAAGATAATGTCTTACCCACAGTCTGACTGATGGTTGGAGGGGAGGTTGATTTTGCATCCAGGTCTTTTACTGCTCTCCATGCTCATGGGCAGCCAGGCAGAGACAGTTAGACCATGAGAGGCTACAGAGGACGGAGGGGTGGGAGGTCGTGTCCAGCTGAGACTGAGCCGGAGCTAGGAGGTACTAGAGAGGCTCGAGTTGGCCGCTATTATCTCAGGCCCAGTGTGAAGGAGGCCAATTCTAGCACCGGGCCATGGCTTCCTGGGGGCCCACCAGTGACCCAGGCCAAGGCTGGTAGTGTCGAGAGCTTTGGCTTGCTCAGAGGGTATACAGACTCGACCCTGGGAATTACAGAGGCCTGAAGTGTGTGAGCTGACTTGCTCTTATTAAAAAGTCAGCATATTCGAAGAGCAGGGATTTTGCATCAGGTGGTCTTGAGTACGAATTCCATCGCTGAACAGTATGACCCCGGTCAAGTCACTTGACCTCTCCAAGTATTTGAAATCATCATGAAACTCAAATGAGAGTCTTCATATCCAGAGACAGGCCCTGGCACTTGGTGAGCACTTAGAAAGGCAGTGTTAGCTGTGGACGTAAAGCTGAGCAGGTGCGAGCCCTGAGAGGGCTGGTGATGTGCTGCTGGTGACAGAGATGGGGTCATTCCACACCATGCTGGCCCTACTGGCAGGCACTGCGGTGAAGTTTTGACCCCGAGTCCGGGAGAGGCTGGCATAAATTCTCAGGAAGTTGGGCTCCTGGGTTCCAATTGAGACACCAGCTTTGTGACCTTGATCCTGCCCCTTTTTTCTGTGAGCCTCGGTTTTTTACCTGTCAGATGGGGAGGAAAAGAAGCTCCCCCAGTCAGTTGAAAAGGTCGTTATAAGCAGTTGATGAGGAATGATGTTCAACACAAGATGCAGTACAGGGTGGAGATCCTGGTTGCTGCAGGGCCCCCAGACTACAGCCAGGGCCTCCCTCCCATTCCTAGAAAGCAAAGCACACCTCCTTGGAGCTGCCTTTGTCATGCAGCGTGCCCTGCGGGGCCTGTAGGAACCGAGTCTGGGAGACCGGCAGAGTCAGGGCTGAGCCAGGCCTGGGCCACATCAAAGTGGCTTGATGAGAGCGCACAGACCCTAGAGTCAGGTTGCTTTGGTTCAAGTCCCACCTGTATGACTTCAACCATTTTCTTCATCTGAGAAGTGGGAGTCATCACAGTGCCTACCTTTGAGGGTGGTGGTTTGATTGCATGTGTCATCCATGCAAAGCTCATACTAGAGTCCTGGCGTATGGTGTGAACGGGAATGTTCACCGCTGCTATTACCATCAAGGATGAAATCTGGAAATTGTACTAAAATCGGGTGTCTGAACCTGACAGTGGTTTTAGGTCATGCTCACTCACTTATGTCAGACGCATTGCAATGAAAGATGACAGAATGAAGTCCTCACTTCCTCTAACTAAATAATGAAAAAAAGCAACAACGTATCACTTTGAAGATCACTTTGATGACTGGCCTGCCCAGGGTGAGCCCCTTGTGCATTTAGACAGCCTGGGAGAAGGCCCCTGTGGGGTGGAGAGGAGCTGCAGGAGCTCCGCCAGGGCACAGCCTCGGAGCACTCCAGCGGAGCGGGCAGGGCAGGGAGCAGAGGGCTCCGTGCAGAGATCTGTTTTCTGGGAGTGCGGACGCGTGAGAGGAAGCGGTGGAGGGTGAGGGCTGGGAGGTCAAGGCTGGGAAAGCCACAGCCTACCGGGGAAAGGCGTTGAAAGCTAGAACAAGAGTTTGGGCTTCGGCTTGCCGGCAGCGGGGGAACCACGGGAGGGTATTGAGCCGTGAGGGCTGTGGTCAGCCTTTCCTGGGGAAATTGCGCACCTCACTCCTGCCCTGTAGAGGTTCAAGGACTGCCGCATATCCTTCCTCCCCCCCACCCCCCCCAAAAGATCGGGAATTGGCCTGGCCTGGCCTGGCTGTGGTGACCCTGTTCTTCTGTCTGCAGGGAGATCCTGGTAGAGGAGAGCAACGTGCAGAGGGTGGACTCGCCAGTCACAGTGAGTACCCTCTGTCCCTCCGAAGCCAGCGTGGTTTGGAGGCATGTAGACATTCGCTGTAGCCTTGTGGGCTCCCTCCTCCCTGGGAGCCCCATCTTCAAGGGCCCCTCGCTGTAAGAAATGGAAGTTGTGGGAAGGGGCTTTTGACTTGTTGGAGAGAGACTCTGGGCCAGGGCAGAAGGACCCTCCGTTTGGTAAGTGATTCTACTCCACGTTTCTACATGTTCTTCGTTGTCAGGACTTCATTCTGGGCACCTTGAGGGGAGCAGGGAAAGCAGGGGCCAGGTCCTCCCAGAGCTGCAGGTCTGAAAAGACCTGGCTCTAGCTCTTGCCCAGAGAATAGCTGGCATTCACTGTGGGACGGAGGGGGATTGCAGACCAGGCTAACGGGCGGGACAGTAGGTTTTGGGCGGAGAAGCGGAGGCTTAGCTAAGAGTGACCGTTGGGAGATGTCCCCTGGGAGCAGAGGCTTTCCGATGGCGAGTTCCCACACACCTCTCCCTTCCCAGGTATGCGGTGACATCCATGGACAATTCTATGACCTCAAGGAGCTGTTCAGAGTGAGTGTGGGGCAGCACTGGGGAAGGTGACCTGGAGGGTGACTGGAAGGCCCCTTTGAGAGGGAAAGCTTGAATTTGGTGAGTGGAGTGGGGGCAAGAGGCCTCTAGTTAGGTGGGCCCTTTGTGAAAGAAGGGCTTCAACGTGACTGAGTAGGGGACAGTTTAGGACCTTCTCCCTCCCCCCAGGTGGGTGGCGACGTCCCTGAGACCAACTACCTCTTCATGGGGGACTTTGTGGATCGTGGTTTCTACAGCGTTGAAACGTTCCTCCTGCTGCTGGCACTTAAGGTGGGGACTGCTGTCTTCTGGAGCCCAAACCTGGGCCACCTCAGGCCTGACCTGTCTGCATCCTTTCCGCCCTCCTCTCCTGCTCCATCCACCCCCAACTCTGAGCTGTGCTGCTGGTGATGACAGATTCTGCTTGGCAAGGGTGGTCACAGAAGCTTTCCTTGACTTGGGGGCACCTGATTGGGCCCCTGGAGGATGAGGTCAGAGGGGTGGCATTGTAGGGGAGGGAATAGAGGCTCAGTCTGTTCAGAAAATGACAAGGAGTTGAGTTCAACTGGATACAACATCCACTGGTGGGAGAGAGGTTGTAAGAGGCCAGATGACAAAGCACCTTGAATGTCTTGCTAGTCTTGGTCCTGGTCTCTATCTGGGAGGTGAAAGAAGAACCTTTAGGTGTGTAGTTGATGGGGTGCCGGGGGGGAGGGGGTGTATTTTCTGAAGGAGGGCTGGGAGCCTGTGAGGTGGGTGCAACACCATTCAGGCAAGAGATGGCATGAATCTGGGCCAGGGTGGTGATGAGGATGGAGTGGGGCTGACAGATGTGAGGAGATGTAGGAGGGAGAGAGAGAGCCTGGACCCCAGCCCTAGCTTGGTGGTTGGTTACTTTCAGGTTCGCTATCCTGATCGAATCACCCTGATCCGGGGCAACCATGAGAGCCGTCAGATCACACAGGTCTATGGCTTCTATGACGAGTGCCTGCGTAAATATGGCTCGGTGACCGTGTGGCGCTACTGCACTGAGATCTTTGACTACCTCAGCCTGTCAGCCATCATTGATGGCAAGGTAGGCTGCCCAGGGCTCCGTGGGGGTGGGGGTGGGAGAGGTGGGAGAGGCACTGGGCCTCAGCCTCCCTTCCCTCCTGTCTTGCTCTCCCCTGTAGATCTTCTGCGTGCATGGGGGCCTCTCCCCCTCCATCCAGACCCTTGACCAGATCCGGACGATTGACCGAAAGCAGGAGGTGCCTCATGATGGTCCCATGTGTGACCTGCTCTGGTCTGACCCTGAAGGTGAGGGCAGGTGGGGCCGAGCAGCCAGGCTTTAGCCTTAGTTTGCTGAGACACTGAGTGCTTTGGTTAAAGCAAGTGCCTTGAAAGGACACTGAGACCAGGTACGTTTGGGGAAGAGTAGAGCGGGCTGGTCTTCACTGGCGTCTGTCCTTGACCTGCAGACTGGCTGGCACCCTCAGAGCAGGGGCATGGGGAGCTGGGTGCTTTGAGCTCGGGCGGAATTAGGGTCTGTGTATCAGAGCCTTGTTTAGGACAAAATCATTGGCTCCCTGCATGCGAAGGGGCTTTTGCAGAGGTCAAATGCTTACAATGATCGGCCCCTGAGAACCCCTCATTTGGGGAGCTCCTGAGCTAATATGGAGCAGGGCTCCTTCTGCTATAAGACAGTCTCCACTCTCCCCTGCCGCGCCCGAATGCCCTGTTCCTGCTCCCAGACGAACTGTGGCAGCCCTTGCTCACACCTGTATGCGGCAGCGTGGTTCTTAGAAGCACCTCCTTTCACTCCCTGTGCACCTAGTTGGATAGTAACGTGCATGGCCACTCCGACTGAGGTGACTCCAACTATCAGGAAAGTCTCATCATTGGAGCTTACCTGCTTCAACATTTGCAGAACCCCCCAGGACCCCCAGAACACAACCAGGCCCTGTCCTCTTGCCCCACAGGCCTGATTCGGGGAGGGGGCAGGATATTCTCCTTCGAAGGGCAGTGGGCAGTCAGATGTCTTGAGGACACCTCTCCCCATCTCTGCCTTCATTTGCCTCAGACACAACAGGCTGGGGTGTGAGCCCCCGTGGGGCTGGCTACCTATTTGGCAGTGACGTGGTGGCTCAGTTCAATGCAGCCAACGACATTGACATGATCTGCCGTGCCCACCAACTGGTGATGGAAGGTTACAAGTGGCACTTCAATGAGACTGTGCTCACCGTGTGGTCGGCACCCAACTACTGCTACCGGTGAGCTGCCTGGGTCAGGGGTCACGGTGGGGGTGGGATCTAGGCTGACACACGCTAACTCTCGCCCTCGCCCTCCGACTTGCAGCTGTGGGAATGTGGCAGCCATCTTGGAGCTGGATGAGCATCTCCAGAAAGATTTTATCATCTTTGAGGCTGCTCCCCAAGAGACGCGGGGCATCCCCTCCAAGAAGCCTGTGGCCGACTACTTCCTGTGACCCCTTTGTCCCCTGCCCCCCACCCCCCTCCAGTCCCTCTGGCCCTTGGACCACTGTGACTCTACCCTCTTCTCCAGATGGAGGCTGGGCATGGGGGGCTGTCCCCAGCTCTGCTCTCCCTCAAAGAGGGCACTTCGAGGGTGAGGACTTTCTCTGGAGAGGCTCGGAGCCTGAGCTCCATGCGCCTCCTTTCTCCCCACCTGAACCATGAAGTTTCCAATAATTTTTGTTTTTCTTTTTTTCATTTTTTTTGGTTTGTTTTTAGATAAAAATTTTGAGAAAAAGAAAAAATTCTAATAGAAGAACTACGGTCTTTGGATTTGTGTCAGACTTGATTGGGGATGAGTAGTGCTGCTGCCTGGGACCTGGGATGGACCCCACCGGAAAGGTGAGGCGCAGGCCAGCTCACCTGCCCAGAGCCTCCTGATCCATCCACTGACAGTGACTGCTCCTGAGCGCGGTAGAGGCCGGCCCTCAGAGACGGCCTGTTTAATTCTCAGAACAGTGAGTGTCAGGACATTGCTTCCCCCGTTTTCTTGAAGAGGAATCAGGCCCAGAGCAAGTGGATTTACACACAAGATAAAGCAGCTGGAAATGGCAAGTCTAGATCAGGGGCCGGGGTCTCCCCACAAAACCTTTGCTCACCCAGTCCCTCCCAGGGCCAAACACCATTAGCCCAATGTTTCCGGAGCACGGATGTCTTTTGAGTTTTATTAACAAAAATACTCTGGTGTGGCTCGCACTGGGGCAAGGAGATAATGACTAGCTGAGCCCAAGGGTGAAGCCAGGAGTTGGTGGTGCTGGTCCAAAGCCCCATTTGGCCAGGCAGAACCTCCCTCTCTTCGCACGGAGGTGAGAGCCTGGAAGGGGAAGCTGGCCCCAGCTGGACTCCCAGCAGCTTAGCCAGAGCTTTGAAGCCAGAGGGGGGTGGGAATGAAGTCAAAGTGTGAAGTGGGGTGGAGGAGGCCCAAGGCAGCCATTTGGTGTGGGGGATGGGGTCAGTGGAAGTGAGGGGGCTACAGCCTGGGGGAAGGGAACTGGAAATTTGTAATGGAAGACTGAAGGAGGCAGAGGGGCCTGGCAGTGGCTCAGTACATTGGTTTGGACCCCATATCCAGATAGGCCCCAGGGTAAGGTAAGGGCAAGGGGCCCCCTTGGAGGAAATGTGAGGCAAAGGGTGCTGGGGGTGCAGCCGCTGGGTATCCTGAGCTTCCTGGCCCAGACTGCAGCTCTAGGAATGCAGCTGAGTAGGGGGCTGGGCGCCCCGAGTCTGGAGCCTGAGGGAAGCTGGGGTTCCTGAAGTGGAAAAAGGTGTCAGAACATTGGAGAGGGACCCCCAGACTGGAACAGCCCAGTCTGTGCCCTGGTCCCACTCACCTGGTTGGTAGGTGACTGGGAGCCCCATGGAAAGCTGCAGGGTGCAGAAGGTAGGCCTCGGCACTGGAGCCACCACACAGAGGAGCTGGGGCAGGGGCAGCTTCCCTGGGCGCGGGGGCCTGTTCTGGATCTGACTCACGAGCATCCCCGCCCAGGGTGGAGTCACAGGGACCACCTGGTGCATCTCGGGAGACAGAAGAACCAGGTTGGGTGGAGGGAGATCAGCACCTCAGGCCTGGCCCCATCACCATGGGGACAGTACTCACCTCCACTCCCATAGGCCTCTGTGGCTATTGGCTCTGGGCCCCGCAGTTTCCTCTTAACACGGGCATCTCGCTCCCTGGGAAAGACAGTGATGATGGTGATGATGATATCACTTACCAGGTGCTAGACATTCACCCTACCAGGTTTCATACTATACCCATTTTTTCAGATGAAGGAACTAAAGGCCAGAGAATTAAATGACTAGAAAGTAGTAAAGCTGGGACTTATTCCCCACTTAGAACTTTCCAGTGGTTTCCTATTGCATTTAGAATAAATGGAAACTTCTTCCCAAGCTACGATGCTCATCCCATCTTGCTCTGGCCATCCTCACTAGCTGCCTTTCAGTCTTCTCTTCTGTCCCCTGTTCACCTGCTTAACTCATCCTTGTCTCCATTCAGGCATAACTTCCTCAAGGAGGTCGTCTGACCACCCATAGCACAACATGCCCTCCCTGGTAACATTTGTAATAGTTACACTGTTACATTTGTTAGGGTAATCTTGATTAATGTCTGTCTCTTCTGCGTAATCTTGATTAATGTCTGTCTCTTCTGCCTTGAAGGCAAGGACCAGTTCAGGGGGCTGTCCTCAGAATAAAAGCCAAAGTCCTAATTAACCCTTTACTGTTTAACATAATCTGTCTCCACCTCTCTCGCCATTCCCGGGTGTGTTCCCACCTCAGGGCCCTTGCACATGCTGGTTCCACGCTCAGCATGCTGTTCCCAAATATCCACATGGTTCCCTCCCACGTTTCTGTCTAGTCTTTTCTCAAAGGTCTCTTCTCAGTGAGGCCTTTCCAGGCCTCTTATCTAATAAATACCTCACTGCAATTCTTCCTTGCTTGCTTTTGTCTTTAGAACTTATCCCTAACATATATCTTCACTGTTCTTGTTTAGTTGTCTACTTTGCCCACCAGTGTATTAGTTCCATGAGGACAGGGCTTTCATTTGTCCTCTTTACTGATGCTTCTCCAGTGCCTAGCACTGTGCCTGGCACATAGGTGCTAAATAAGTATTTGTTGAATCAGTGAATGAATAAATGTTTTTATTTACCATTAAATGTCTATTAATTCCCCACTATGTGCTTGGCACATAGTGGGGAATTAATAGACATTTGGTAAATGAATGAGTGAATGAATGAATGGTGCCCACCTCTTACAGTTTCTGCCATTCTCCCGGAAACCTTTGGCAAAGGGGTTGGCTGCAATCTTCAGTTGTGTGATCTGGGGGCACATATCCAGAGTCAAAGCTGCAGCTGAGGCAGGGTACCACCACCCACCCCCCTCAAGCAGGGTCACTCACCCGTGGGTTCTGGTAGGCTGTCACAGAGATGAACATGGTCTCAGGGAAGCGAAAGGAGGCAACGCCCCCCCAATGTTGGCTGCAAAGCTGTGCGGCCCGCACTAGGTGTACGCGGGGCTGATACTTGTGCATGGAGTGCAAGATCAGCTGGGAGGGAAGAAACAGAAGTGACCCCTAGCCCTGGGTTCCAACCCCAACCCCCAGCCTGGGGTCCCAGCCTGGGCCTCACGTGGCCATGAGGGTCCAGTGTGCTGTTGGTGAGTTTGACCCGATGGAAAGATACAGGCTGCCGCATCCAGTGGGCACCAGTAGCAGGGGAGTCAGGGTGAATGTAGACACGGTCAGGCAGGCGGGGCTCGGCTTTGCCGCTGGGCTCCCAGCGCCGTCCCTGCCAACGGTAGCGAGCTCCGTCCACTGGCACCACATCCAGAAGGAACAGGTAGCGGGCCTCAGGGTCCAGGCCAGTGACTGACACTCGACAAGCAGGGAACATGCGTCTGGATGGGAAAGAAGACAGGAGTGCCTTGAGCTACCCAGCAGCCACAAGCAGGCACAGTGCTGACAAGGGGGCAGAACCACCAGCTCAGAGTTTTGTCAGGGAACATTCGAGCTGGAGTTAGAACTGAGGGGAGGGCCTGGAAGCTTGTTCCATCCCATTTTATAGATAGGAAACAAGAGACAGGTTAGGTGATCGGATCGGATCAGAGTCACAAAGGTTGAAGCAGAGCTCGCAATCCTGACTCTGGGCCCTTCAAACTCCATTTGCAGAAGCAGGGGGGGTGTCACACTTTTCTCCTGGAAATCTTGCCAGGAGCCTCTTTGCTCTCCACCCTGAGGATCTCACCTGATCTCCAGCACCATAATCTACAGCACTGGACAAACTTGCTTCAGGGAAGAAAGAAAGAAAGAAAAAAAAGCCCTGGCTGGTATGGCTCAGTGTTTGGAGTGTTGGCCCTTGCACCAAAAGGTCTCAGGTTTGATTCCTGGTCAAGGGCATGTACTCGGGTTGCAGGTTCAATCCCCAGCCCCGATCAGGATGCATGTGGGAGGCAGCAACCATTGATGTTTCTCCCTCCCCTTTCCACTCTCTAAAAATCAATGGGAAAAATGTCCTCTGGTGAGGATTAACCAAACACACACACACAATCCCAACCCTGCTTTCAATGGAGAAGATACCATGCCAGGGCCCGAGTTCCTTGCCTAGATAAAGAGCTCCACAAGGCCACACACTGACCATATCCCTGCCTCCAAGGTGACCCTGGATCTAGTCATGTGCTGACAAACTTTAATGCTAACCCTGATCCTAGCCAGACTTCTCTGACGCTGGTCACTGGCTGGCCCTTGACTCTAGTTATAGTCTGAAGCCCAACTCCAGCCATACACTGGCCCCTTGATCTAGGCCACATACTAAGCTATAATCCATCCAGACTTTCTGGACGGGACCCAGACTGACCTATGACTCTTGCCTTAGGTTGGTCCCTAAACCAGCCACAGGCCTTTGCCACAACATGACCGTGATCGGTCACTGAGTAACCCCTGGCCCAGACCACAATCACATTCTGAACGTAGACAGAGCTCTAGCCCCCCTAGAAACCCTCAAACTAGCCCCATCACCAGGAACTCTGCCTTTCCCAGAGACCCCCCACCAGGAACACACTGGGTCCTCTGACCCTGGCCCAGCCCCCTCACCTCCCAGCTTTGGTGATGATCATCTCTGTTCCCACAGAATTGAACTCTTTCCACAGCTCCTGGTTCTCCAGGCTCAGGCTGACTCCAGGGAGTGAGTGAAGGGCCTCTGGGGCTGGAGGAGACGGCTCAGTGCCCAGGGCTGGGGGCAGAGGGGGAAGAGGTGGGGGAGCCGCCAGGGTGCGGGGAGCAGCCTCAATCCCGGAGAGGAAGCAATCCAGTTTGGGAGTGTCCAAATCTGGAGATGGGGGGAGAATGAGGAGCCAGCCCAGGTCCACAGCAACCCTCAGTCCCTACAGAGGAGCTCCTCCCAAAGCTCACCGGGGTAGCGGTAACCCTCTGCCAGGGCAGGCGGGAAGCTGGAATCGGTCACTGGCTGGGGGGGCCCAAGGCGGTAGCCGGTCCCCAGGGAGGGGTACAACTCTCTTGGGTGATACATGGAGTAGTCCTGTCTGGCCTCAGGTCTGGCTGCCTAGAGTCCCCTGGTGCTGGGAGATGCCCCCTTTATAGCTCACAGCTCAGCCCCTTCCAGACCCAGGATCACAGCCCCTCCCTCTTTGGGGCCCTGGAGTTGGGCTGGGGTGGAGACCCCTGGGGCCTGGAAGGGGTACAAGAGGGGGCCGGATACCTGGGCACCCTCCCCCGCAGGCTTCATTAGCCTCGACCCCCTGCCCCTCATTACATAATTAACTCCTCGGCCTGATTGATCCCCGGCACTTGGACAGGGACGCAGTTTGGCGCTTCCGGCCAGCTGGTCCCCGTTCCCACGGGGGGAGCCCCAGCTAGGGCTAAGCTACTGAGGGGGCGGGGCCTGCACCCTGGGATGGAGCCTGGAGTCCTGGGGCAGACCTTGGCGGCTCAGACTCCTAGCAGGTGACCCCCACCACCCTCACTGGGAGGATGGGGCTTGGAGGGAACGAGCCGGCTGGAGGGATGGAGCCTGAGCATATTGTTACGCAGGGCACTGGAGTCCGCAGCCAAGGGCCGAACCCTGGAGTCCTTCCTGGTTTTCATTCTTCACCTTCATTCAAGTCTCAAAAGTTTACAGATCTCCACAGCTCTACAGCCCCCAACCGGCTGCTGCCTGGGTTTTTCAGAAGGTCCCGTGCTGGGGAGCCCTGGGAACTACACTTCCCAGCAGACACAGCGCCAACTTAGCCGCAGAGAAGATCGAGAGATGCCGCGGGGGCTGCTGGGTGGTGGCAAAACGCTAAGGTTGAGAAGACGATCAACCGAGATCAAGGTCTAGGGAGCCAGGGTGGGCTCTGGAATCCCGGGCAGTGAGACCTGTCCCGGGTCCTAGAGAAGATGGCTGAGGCCAGGCCGCAGGAGCGCAGACTCCCACCTTTAGCCGGTTCCTACCTACCTGCTGCCCCACTGGGGCTCAGATGGGAACAGGTCTATAGAGGCAGGATTCTGCACTTGAGTTCCCCCTTCCCGATTCCACATAAGCCTGGGGCTGTCTCCGCTTCATTGTTTTATTATATACAAACGCTACAGAACTAGGGGAGGGGACACGCGTGCGGTAAGAGGCGCCCAGTGGGAGGAGTTCACAGGGCAGACGCTGCACTGGGCTAAGAGAACAGCACACAGGGCCATATCGATAGGGTAGGCGGGGCGGGAAGAGGTTAAAAAATGAGATCCAAGCCAGCCAGATCGCAGGGAAGTGGGGGTGGTGGTGTCCCACCTTCTGATCTCCCCCCAAGGTCACAGTGCATGCAATAAAATATATGTACAAGAGCCGAGTCCTTCCTCTGCAGGGCTCTGCGGGTCCAGAGCTCCCTTCCGGCAGCGAAGGGAAGCCAGTGGCGCCCCCTGGCGGCCAGGCCGGGCTGGAGCCACATGAGGCAAGAGTGGGGGTCAGTCCCAGCCGTTGTCTTTGATCATGTGGTTGAGTTCAATGATGTACTTCCCCTCTTTGTACTTCTGGCTGCTCTCGAAGGCCTGTTCCTAAAAGGAGGGGAGAGCCTGTCATCCCTGGAGCAAGGGCCTTACCAGCAGGGATAGAGGTTGGGGCATGGATATGACTGGCCCTATTTCATATTTGAGGAAGCGGTCACCCAGAGAAGCCAAGCCATCTGCCCACAGACACAGAGCTGGTAAGTGGCAGGGTCGAGTTTCTCACTAGTGGGATAGACAGAACTCCCTGAATAGTGGGCACTTTTGAAAGCGCTCATGTTGGCTCCAACAATGAGGATATGTAAGTGTCTACAAGACCCAGGGGTTACAAACTGGTAGCCTGAGTGCCAGTGTTGGCCTACACGTGTGTTTGTTGGCCAGCAGGGAATTTAATAGAAATAACTGAATTACTAACATAGAGGCAGGCTGTGCTGCCTCCAACCTATGTTGCCCCTTTTTCACATCCACAGTATCTGCTTGGCCCTGCAAGCACTTGAGTTTTTGACCTCTACACTGGCCACCTCTTTGTTTTACAAAGTTCCAGGGAGGCCAAGCCACCTGCACAGGTACACAAGGCAAATCTGTGGCAGGGCCAGGGCTGAACTCTGGTCAGGGCTGCCTGTTTGCCTCTGCCTGGGGCATCCACATCACCGAGGCCCCACAGCTCCAAGCAGCTGCAGTTTCCCAAGAGCATCTTCTGCTGCTGCATCTAATCTGATCTCCATAACAGTCTTGGGTGCCAAGTGGTGGCTTTATCCTCCACTGCCAGGTAAGGAAATGCAACTCGGAGCAGTGAAATCAGACCCTGGACAGCAGCAGTGGTAAGGAGGGCAGTGGAAAAGGAGGCACATGGACCCAAGCTCTGTGCTGCTGTGGGGTCTTGGGCAACCTCTCTGACCCTCTGAATGGTAACAGAAGCTGGGGTCAAGGGTTTGGAGTTAAAAACAAAACGAAGTAGGATTCTGGTCCCTATTATGTTACTTGCTGGATGTGTGACCTTGGGCAAGTTACCTAACATCTCTGGGCTTCCTTCTTTTGTAAAGTGAAGAGAAAGTAGACTCTACCTACAGGATTGTTGTAATTATTGTTGTGATGCACATAACAATAAGCATTTTTGGCAATAAATGGTAATTCTGATTATATCATCCTCTCTAAAATGGAGTGCTTGTGCCTGTGAGGAGATGGATGGGTTAAGAGAAGAAAAAAAAAGCTGTTGTCTGATGTCAGAGATGAAAACATGGTCAGGGGATGAAAAGACTGTTTGACTTTTCATCCCCTGACCATGTGTGAGCTGGGCCCATACACTCTGCAAGATTATCCGATGGCTGCTTATGATGTGAGGTCATGTCAAAAGCTAGCTTGGGGTCAGAGGTCACTGACTCACATATTTCCAGCCCAAAGTGGTCTTGCAGTTCTCGCAGTGGATATCAGCGACAGCATGAAGGCCTGTCAGCAGCACCCGCTCCTCGGCTGGCCCGCAGCCCACGTTCACCCTGTGGGGACATAGGAGCAGTCCCAGGGAGGGTCCCGCCATCACAAAGCCCAACTCTAGCTTGTATCCAACTGTGTCTGTCCTTAGCTTCTTGCCTGAACCAGAGGGCTTTGGGAGTCTCAGCATGGTGCCATGGGTCACAGGTCACAACAGAGGTCAGGAAAAGAAAGACAGGAGGCCAAATACTCACACAGAATTGAAGAGGTAGGCACGCCCCTGACTGCCCTGGAAGGACTGAAGGATGGAAGGGAGAGAAGAGGGGGTCAGGGTTATTGGTGGGGAGCTGCCAAGCGGCCCTCAAGCCTCCCATTCCAGCCCCAGCTATGATCTGGTTACCTTGGAGATGAGGTCGTCGTGGTTGGCCAGGTGGGCACGGCAGTGGGCACAGCTATACCTCCGGTGACAATCATCTAAGTAGGCCTGAAACGTCTTGGGTTTTGAAATCCGCACCATGGCGGGGGCCAGGGGCAGTGGCCCCACGCGGGGAGCGGCCCACGGAGAGCAGAGGGAGCCCAGTGCCTGTTGGGGAGTGAGTGAGTGTATGGTCAGGACCCCAGCCACACACAAGCAGGCACGCCCAGGGCCACGGGGACTCTCTCAGTGTCACACTTGGCTGCTGTCACCTCTCCCCAGAGCCAGCAGGCTCTCCAGGGGCCAGAACTGGCTCAGTTTTGACTCATTGAAGAGGCCTCAAGTTGCATCATTGGGGAAACTGAGGCTAGGAGGAGCCCAAGATGAGTCACCCACCCGCTTTCAGCCTCACCCCAGCTGACCTGGCAACTGAAACTGGAGGAAGGGGCTCTAGAGTGGATGAGCTGTCAGCTCTGTTTAGGGGAGCAGGAAGGGGCTAGGAATTGGATGGTCTTTAGGACCTCAGCTGAACTGCGGGGGGCGGAGCTGGGGGGCGACTGCAAGTACCATACAGGGAGCTCACCTGGGGGAAAGGTCCCGCACCCGGAGGAGGCTGGGGCCTCCCCGAGGTTGGAGGGTCACCGAGGGGGGTGGAGCTCTTACCTGGGGACGCCGAACCTCGTCTATGCCGAGGGGCTCTTACCTGCATCGCGGAGCCTTACCTGAGACCCGGGGCTCACCTGGGGCGCGGGGTGGGGGGCGGGCGCCAGGGAAGGGGACAGTCCTCGCTGGCGGGGCGGGGCGCGGGGCGACGCGCAGCCCTGAGGATGCGGGCCTCACCTCGCCTGGGCGCGCGGGAGCCCGGTCCGCCGGGGTGGCTGGCCTGGGAGTGGGGGGCCCTGGTGGGCGCCGTCCCCCACCCCGGCCCGGTTCCCAGTCGCCGCGACTTGTTTACACCGAGACCAGCTGCTGCCGCCGCTGCGGCGGGAGGGGGAGGGGGCCAGCCCCTGGGCCCCGCGGCGCCGCGGCCAATCGGCGCGCAGCATGCAAATGAGGGGGCGCGTCACACCGCGGCCAGCGCAGGCCGGGCTACCCTGCCCCCGCTCCGGCTCGGCCGCCCGGAAATGCGGCTGCCGCCCGCAGTCCGCTCGCCGCCCAGCGGCCCGGCCCGGCCCGGCCCAGCCGCCCCTCGGGCCTCCCGCGGTTCTTGAAGGGGCACGTGTCTGAGGTACCTGACCTGCGCGGGGTTCGGAGGGGCACGGTGTCTGGATGCACGCCCCCGGGGACAGAATAGTCATAATGGTCTGCGTTGCCCACCGCCCGGGCCCACCCTCCATCCCCGCTGCAGCTTCTGCTGCTGTTCGCGTTCTGCCGAGGCTGCCCGCCTGCAGGAGGCAGAGGTGGCTTCTCGCTGTGGTCCAGCCCGCGGTCTGGGCCATTGCACCAGGGACAGCCGCGGAATGCAGGAGCTAAGGGCGTGGTCGGTTAGACCCGGGACGGCGCCTGGGAACAAGCGAGCCCGGCTGAGCATCACCTCCTCCAGGTGGCGGCTCCTCCGATGCCCGTCCTGCAGGCGGGGTTGGGGTCCGCTGTGGGCTCCCCTGCCCGTTCTCACCTGAGTGTTGACACACGTGGGCCATGCTAACCTTGTCGTGTTCCCTGCACGGGCCCCAGGGCCCGCCCGGGCCTAGAGTCGTCCACAAGCTTGTAAAAGCCGGTTTCGTAAATGAGTGACAGACCTACCGGCTGGAGAGGGCTGGGGAACTGGGAGCTTCTGGAGCAGGAAGCCTGGGCGTGGAAGCTGGCGTGGGAGGCAGCAGGTGGTGCTGAGGACCCGCCGTCCGCCATGCCCACCTGTGCAGCCAGGTGAGGAGGCTCAGGGGTCAGCCAAGGCCCTCGCTGTGGGCCTGGCGCTCTTAGTGGCCTCAGGAGAATGGACCCATTATCTGTGGCTCTGAAGGGACATTCCTGAGGAGAGTGGAGGCCAGGCTGGCACAGGGTGTGGCATTACTCTGGGTCTGGAATGTGGTTGAACCAGTGGGTCAGGCTAGTTCCGGGCCCCAGACTCCTGCCTTAGGCCGCCATCTTTAGAGTTTTCTAGCATCTCTGACACCCGGACACCCTCTGCCCCCTAAAAAGAATGCAAAAAGGCTTGACTAAAAATAAAATATTTATTGGGAAAGAGAAACATTGTTGAGGGCAAGGGCCTCAGGCTTAGGAGACGGGGGCCGCTGCTCTGTGGTTGTCCAGGTAGCGCCTCAGGGCTGTGGGGTAATCAGTCATGACGCCAGTGGCCCCCAGACTGTAGGCCACTTCAAAATCCGACTCTTCATTAAGGCACCAAAATACCACCTGAGCGGGAGAGAGGCATCGTTTCCAAGCAGCTTGACCTGGGACTCCCCATTGCACCCAGCTGGCCAGAGCTCTCTGTGGAGGCCTCCCCGCAGCGGCATGCTGGGGAGCTGATTGAGCAGTTTTCAGAAATTTTTCAAATTGGTTTTGGACACACCCATTATTAAATACCAAATTGCATAAACTTGCAATTCCGTAAACCGTATTAAAAACAAAGGCAAAATGCCCTAGCTGGTTTGGCTCAATGGATAGAGCATCGGCCTGTGGACTGAGGGGTCCCAGGTTCGATTCCAGCCAAGGGCACATGCCTGGGTTGCCGGCTCGATCCCCAGTGGAGGGTGTGCAGGAGGCAGCCAATCAATGATTCTCTCTTATCATTGATGTTTCTCTCTCCCCTTCATTTCCTCTCTAAAATCAATAAAATATATTTTAAAAAAATAAATAAAATAAAAACAAAGGCAATAAAATCTAAAAACTCATCACTTCCTCATACTTCCATTTTACTATCACTATGCCCTGGAGATGATTTATGTCTGTCGAATGTGTCCGGTGGAAATACTCTGCAAGGATGTGCTACCTTGCATCTCTTCCCAGCTCCGTCCAGTGACTTCATACTGGTAGCCTGAAATGGGCCGAGGCAGTATATACGCCACGGAAAGCCAGTGGTGGACTGTTTGCCAGCGGGCCAGTGCCGCCGGCCTGCCCGCACCTGCCACTGCTCTCCCTGCCCTGACTCCTGAGTCTTCTCCTGTGGGCACCGACATAGGTGGGACCGGGATCTGTGCCCTGCGCAGGCCAGTGGACCTCTGGGTTTCCTAATGAGACAGCTGAGCGTTCGGGTCCAGCCTCCTAGAGCTGAGGTGAAGCCCCCAGGAGTGGGAGGGCTCATCCTCACTTACCCTCGTCCAATCAGTGGCTGGTCTGTGAGTAAGCTCTCCCATCCATCCCCACTGTTACCACTGGAGCCCAGATCCTGTCCGCGGCAGCATCAGCCTCCTCATGAGACTGCTTCCACCGTGGCCCCCACAGTCACTTCGCCACACGGATGACCCTCACTCAACAGATCTCAACTGGGTCACGGCTCTTCCCTCAAAAGTTTCCCCTCCCTTTGGGCAGAAGCCCAGGCTCCTTACGGAGGCCCTCGGCTGCCTTCTCCAGCCCCCCTGGTGCTGCCTCCTTCCGGCGTAGCCCTCTCTGCTTCTCAGACTGCCAGCCTCTAGCTCCTCTGGGCCTCCCCACAGGAGCCTCCCGCCTGAGTGCTCTCCCTTGTCCGCCCCTGGAGCCAGCGCCTCACTTCTCCCAGAGGCCTTCTCTGACCCCACAGGCCAGCGCACTTGCCTTTCCTGTCCACGAGCTGCCCCGGTGCTGGTGATGGCCAGCTTCCTTCCGCTCCTCTGCCCCGGTAAACTCCCTACTCAGTACCGTAGTGCCCGTAGTGCCCGGCATATATGCTCAACCAAGGTTTGCTAATTAAATGACCTGGTCAAAGCTGGAGCTTGGGAGCGGGAGGAGGTGGGCAGGCTCCTGTTTCTCTTCTGTCTTTGCCCAGCCCCTCCTCAGGGGTCAGGACAGTTCAGTACATCACCATAATGGCTAGCATTTATCAGGCCCTTGCTAAGTACCAGTGACATACCCAGAAGAGCTAACTCTGTCATTATCCCCATTTACAGTGAAGAAACCAGGCTCGGAAGGTGACCTGCCCAAGCCGCCAGCCGGCAGCAGCAGAGCTGTGGCTGGAACGCTGTGCCAGCCCCCGCCGGGAACTGGGGCGGCGAAGCCTCACCTGCACTCCTCGCTGCTCCAGGTGTTGGATCAGACTTTTCCTCATGATGAGCCTGGTGGGGAGGGGGCGGCAAAGGTCAAGATGAGGGGGACTGAGGAGAAGGGCGGAGGCAGGCCTCTTTGGGGACACTCCACCCAGCCGTCGCGCCCACCTCACCATTTAGTAACCACGGCTGTCAGCTTGTTCAGCCCAGAGCAGGAGAATGGGAAGTAGGTCCTGTGGAGAAGGGGTGTCGTGGTCAGTCCATGGGTCTCTCTCCGTCACGGGGGTGGAGCGTGGGGGTGGTTGTGATCCCTGACCAGTGAAACCTACCCCCCGCTAAAAGAACCTTTGCAGCCCTGGCTAGTTTGGCTCAGTGGATAGAGTGTTGGTCTGTGGACTGAAGGGTCCCGGGTTCAATTCCGGTCAAGGGCTCGATCCCCAGTAGGGGGTGTTCAGGAAGCAGCTGATCAGTGATTCTCTCTCATCATTGATGTTTCTATCTCTCTCTCCCTCTCTGAAATAAATTTAAAAAATTTTTTAAAAAAGAACCTTTGCAGTTGCCCGGACAAAGAATTCACCCTTTGTTCAGTGAGATCCTACTCCTATATCCTTGACTCCATGCTTTGAGGGTGTGCCCACCCCTCACTGTTTTTCAGAAGCGGAAACTCAGTCTTGGAGAGTTTGATTAACTTGCCCGAGGTCACGTGCAAGTCTGTGGTGGGGCCAGGGCGGAAACCTAGCTAGATTCCCAAGCTGGACACAGTCTGGAGGTCCTCCTGGTTGGGCCTGACCAGCTTCTGAGAACAGTCAGCGTTTAATGGGTCGGCTACTTGCCCCCGCTTGCCCCACTCCAGGGGAGACTTCAGAGCCCCTCCACAGGGTCCCAGGGCAGGCTTGGGAGTCAGGCCCAGGGTAAGCCAGGCCCCGGACTTCTAGCCGTATCACCTCGAGCAAGTTACAGAAGCTCTGAGCCTCAGATTCCCCATGTTCTGTGGGTCATGATTCCTATAACTCCTGGGGGTGCTGCCAAGTAAAGCTCAACTGACCAAAGGATGTGGAAACACTAAATCCTGCATAAACATTCTATACACAGAGTTCTGTAGAATAATGATGTCTTTGTTGCAAAGGGTTGTGGGGGCTGGCTGGGCCTTCTCATGACAGCAGAAAGCAACTGGGCCACCACAGCCGATTCTCTGAGAGCAGGTGGGGGGAGGGGGCGGCCCGAGAGCTGGCGAAGTATCCACATTCCTCATACTTTACCCAGATGTTACTTTGTTAATCCTTGTTTCCCCGCAGGAAAACACTTGCTTTTCCTTTGGGGCATCAGAGTGATGCTACAATTAACATGCGTCTCCCTGTACGCTGAGGGCCTTGCCCCACCCACACTGGTCTTTATTACTAGTGTTCCTGCACCTGGAAGAGTCGGCAGTCAATAAATACTAGGTGGATGAATGGATGAGTAAGTGAACCTTTTGTTCCAAAACTCTATCCACACCTACATACCAGTACATTTGCACTGAGTTTCAGAGGGTTCATGGTCCTCTTAGTATCCATGAATGCTGGGTGAGAGCCTCTGTCTTCACAGTGCTGTGGGGGTTATCCTGAAGGTGGCTGGGGACCCTACAAAATGGGACTTGAGATGGGGGGTCGGGTTTCTAAGGACAGAAGCGGCTGGAAGCCTGGGGGAGGATGGAGAAGGGAGATGGGGACCTGTAGGTACCTGTTGATGATGGTGGGCAGGAAGCACAACAGGAACCTCTCAGGGATAGGGACAAAGGGCAGCAGCCCCAGGTAATACAGCAGTAACAGCCGGATGACTCGGCATCTGGAGAAGGAGAGCGGCATCTCGGGGTTCTGGGAGGCAATGGGGGGGTGAGAGGAGTCAGTCTGCTGCTGGGGGAGCAGAGAGGCTTGGGCTGCAGGGGAAACAGCTTTGGAATATTCAGGAAACCCTACTATCTGCAGGATCAAAGCCACATCTTGGCCCCGCTCTCAAGGCCTGAATGCACCCTCCCTGTTCCCAGCAGCATGACTTGACTTGGCTCACATACTTCCGCCACCACCTCACCTCTCCAGATCCCCCAGAACCCCCCGGACCCTGCCAGCCTAGGCCCCCAGGTTGGGCAGGGCTCCAGCGCCTGGGAGGAGGGGCTGCAGGCACAGGGAGGGAAAGGGCCTCACAGCAGCCTTGCACTTCTTCATGACTGAGCTCTTCTCCGAGGCCCAGATGGTGATTTCATTGCGGTCAAAGTGCCTCACCAGGCTGGCTATCTGGAAGGAGGAGAAAGGAGATGAAAGGGAGTCGGGCCTCTCCCCAGGCCGGCCCTCCCCACCGTGCCCACAGCACTACCTTGTGAATAAGCTTCTCGTTTTCCTCTTTGACCTCCACACTCACGGGCATGCGAGGGAACCTCTGGAAAACATCCTCCAGACGCACCATGTGCCTGTCTGACCCACGTGCAAAGTGGCCTGGGGGGTTTTGGGGAGAGAGCAGAGGAGGGCGGGCAGTGGGAGTGGGAACCCAGGGGAAGAGGGGCAAGTTCCGGAGCAGAAGAGAGGGCAGAGGTTGAGGCCATGGCCCCTCAGCTGGCCCAGCCCAGGGCTCACCCCCATGCTCTTACCTGGTGAGAAGTAAACCTCCAGCTCCTCCTTGTAGAGGGGCAGCTCCTGGGGAGGCAGGGGCATGTCACCAGGAGGCTCAGTGGGGGCTCTCTGGGTCTGGGGGGGCTAGGGCAAGGCCCACCTCAAAGTCCAGGCTGCCCACATCCTTGTTCACGCCTGACTGGCGGGACAGGTTCTCGTCGTGGGAAACCACCACCACACCGTCCCGGGTCAGCTGACAGTCCAGCTCCAGGAGGTCTGCGCGCTGGGCCATGGCGCTAAGGGAGCGAAAGTCAGTGGGTCGTGGGGCACAGGGTGGTGGGGAGGTTCAGGGTAGCGGGGGGCAATTTAAAGCGGGATATGCAGCCAGCGCGATGCCTCCCGGGGCTCCAGTCACCCAGACTAGGAAGTGCATGGCACCCCTTGGCTTCATGCCGCGCACAGCTGGCACGACCTCACAGCTCGGCTGGGCGGGCGCACTCACTTCTCCATGGCCTCCATGGTGTTCTCCAGCCTCTCTCCAGACCCTGTGTGGGGCAGCGCGGTGGGTCCCTGGGGCTGGGCCCTTCCTCCCCCCTGGCCCCTGCCTCATCACCCCGTCAGCCCAAGTGGGCAGCCTCCTTTCCTCCTTCCACACCCTGCCCTGTCACCTGCTCTCCTCCTGCCTCGGTCTGCCATCTTTCTAACATCTGGCCCCTTAGACCTACCCCTCTCTGCTGTCCACCTTGGCACGTGTCTTGCTCTCCCTATTCCACCCTCAGTAGCTTACAACCCCCCACCCCCCAGCTCACCTCCCCGGTGGGCTCCCAGGCGGGGCCGGAAGGCCGGAACCCTAGGTGTGTGCAGCAGGCGAGGCCGGCGCAGGAAGAAGATGGAGAGCACGGCATAGCTGCCCAGGGCGGGCAGGGCATAGTACAGCACAGAGCTCATGGCCGCTGCCTCCCGGGCTCCGGCTGCCACCAGCTCAGCTGTCGCCGGTGAACTGTGTTGCCTTGCCGATTGCCTGGCTGATGTAGGCTGATTCCACCACTGGTCACCACCACGCCCCTGGGACCTGCTCAGCCTGCTGCTGGCCCAGCGCCAGGCTGCAGGGCTCAGCTGGGGATGGAGTACAGGCGGGAGGCGAGGCCAAGAAGCTCTGGCCCTCACACTGCAGACAGCAGCGCCCCTCTCTGCTTGACAACACTGGGGGAGTCAGGTTCCCCCGCACGTCTGCTATAACCTCCCCCTTGACCACTTGTGCATGTGGCCAGGGGCTACCATCCCTTCCATTCTAGAAAATCCAGGGGTGTGTAGGTGCCAGAATCACCCCCGAATCACCCCAGCCAGTTAGGAAGACATCAGAGAGGGGAGAGGACAGTGACTGAGAGGAAAAGTGACCCCACTCTGTCCAGGAGGTGGGGCTTCTCACACACCCATCTTCAACCCTGGCCAGCGGGGGAGCCAGAGGTGCCAGGGCAGGTAAAGCCACAGCTGGAGGCTGCTGGGCTGGAGGTCAGTCTTCAAAGCAGCCATGGCGAGGGGCACGGCATCGGCAAACACAGACAGAGCCAAGGGCCATCATATACACATCTCTATATTTATATATTAGATACAGGCACAGGTGGGCAGGGGCCCCGGGCTCTCCACGCCCCCACCTCCACTTCTGCTCACCCACACACAGAAGCAGCAGGAGTTAGATGTGGCAGCTTAGGGGGAGGGGGCTTAGGCAGGGCCCAGCTCCTCAAGGATACTAGCCCTTGAGCCTTAGGAATGTTCCTTGAGGGGAAATGGGTGGGGTTTGAATGAGGTGAGTGGGGCCGAGTCCCAACTCAGTGTGCCCTATCCCCGGCCGTCCCTCAGGAGGTCACAGGGCAGCCAGGGCCCTTCGATTCCAGAACCACCAGAGACTGGGACAGCTCGGGGAGAGGAAGGCAGAGCAGCTGAGAGGAATCTGCTTTGGGGCCACCTGAGCCACAGGTCCTAGGAGGGGGGAGGGAGGAGGCCTGGGCCTGCCTGAAGCCGGAGGCCCGAGCAAAGCGAGGGAAGATGGCCAGGCCTGCCCTGTCCCCGATCTGGGCTGCCGGGGTCCGGGCTGGGCACAGTGTCCATTTTCTAACAGTCCAGCAGGGGAGGGGCAGACAGGAGGCAGGGCCTAAACAAAAAGACAGGCAGGAAAGGAACCATTAGCAACAGGAGAGCACCTGCCGGAGCTCTGACCTCAACCCCTTTTGTTTCAATCCTACAGTTGAGTGAGATGTACCTGTTTCCTCATAATGGGGACAACCTTAGTACCTGTCTCACGGTACTGCTGCAAGGGTGAAATGAGCTCATACACAGAAACATCTAGAACAATGCTTAGTGCTCTGTGTTTGCTCTCATTACCAGGACTGTCCCCAGGAAATGGAGCTGCAGAAGGGAAGTGTCTTGCACAATATCACACAGCTCTTACTACGTGTCAGACCTGGGGTTTGAGCACAGGTGTGTCTGCCCGCCCTCTATCAGGCTCCAGCTGGCAGAAAGACCGGAGGTGAGGGAGGGAAGAGGGGTGTGGGTCAGAGTCCCCCAAAGGTGTGTGAACTGCTGACCCGGGCACCAGGTGTGAGAAAGCGTGGCATCTGGGTCAGGCTGAGAGCTGCTAGCCCCTCCCAAAGCAATTGCGGCCCCACCTGCCACACTGGGAGGGGCAAAACCTGGCTCCGGCCCTCAGATGGGTGAGAGGGGCCCGCAGTGACCTCCAGGGCTGGGGGCAGCAGGGTGTTGACAGATGGGAGCCATTTGGGGCTGGGGGAAGGAGGGACATGACGACTGGCAGGCCACAGGTCCATGGTCTGGGCAGTCTCTGGCCCTTCTGTTGCGACCACAAACATGGATCATGGGCATGAGCTTTGACTGTACAGGATGTTTGGTACCCTGGTCTCAGAGTGAATCAGCGCGTGGGCGGTGGGGCGCACTCACCCAGTCCCGGGGAGCGGAGGCATCTGTTCAGGTTAGGTGGCCTCCAGCACCCCAGGCTGGAAGCGGGCTGTCTCCTGGAATATGAGCTCCTTCAGCCGCTCCTTGGGCAGATCATCCAGCTCCATGTCAAAGGTGAAAGGTTCCTCGGCCACTGGCTAGGGTGGCAAAGATGTGAGACTCAGGCCAGAACACGAGGGAGGCCTACCCACCCACTGACCCACCAGGCCTGCTCCTGGTGGCTGACCCACCTCATCTGTTGGGTCGTAGTACTGCTCCAGGTAGGGGTGAGCCAGGGCTTCTTCTACTGTGATCCGTTTATTAGGGTTAAAGGTCAACATCCGGTCCAGCAGGTCAAGGGCTAAGGAAGGGCAGGAATCAGGGGTCAAAGCGAAGGCTCGGGAAGTTGCCAGAAGTACTGTTTTGCTTCTCTGTGCCCAGGGGGCCTGTCTACTCAGGCAGCTGCTGGGCTCACGCACCCAGCTTTCATCCCCCGTCAGCCCCCATGTCGCTCTCACCTTTGGAGTCTGACTTGGGGAAGAGCTTGGCCCAGGCCACCTTGGTCTTGGAAGGCAGAGACTGCAGGTAGTTCCGGGCCTTCATGTTGATGATACAATTCAGGTCCTCTTGGGATGGGGAACCCAGGATGCCTATGGGTAGGGCAGGTGACTTGGTGAGAGATCCTCTCTCCCTTCTGGGAACAGAAGGAGCCAAGAACAGGAGCTCCCACAACCCATCCCATGCCCTGACAGTTATCTCCAGCCAATACTATGATGATGAAGCCAGGGGTCTGGACGCGGGCAGCCCTCAGTTCAGATCTCAGCTCCAGCACTTCCTAAGTGTGGGCTGCAGCCTTGCTTTTCCCATGTGCCAGCGGAGAGCATCTATATCACTGAAATACTGTGAGGTGCTGCAGAGGCTCCAAATGTGGTGGGACTCCTGATCCGACTCCCACAGGCTCACCGACCCTGACCTCAAAGAAATCTCACTTCCAACAGACTAATCTCCCTTCCCCTCAGCTGGCCAGGCCCCCTCACCCAGAATATGGTTGAGCTGGTCCAGGTAGTGCTTGCCAGGAAAGATGGGCCGGTTGGAGAGCATTTCAGCCAGAATGCAGCCCACAGACCAGATATCGATGGACTTGGTGTAGCCCTGGGGAGGGGGAGAAAGTGGTGGGTCCCGGGGCCAGCCTCAATGGGTCCCTGTTGTCTGGGCCAAGCCACCACCCCAACCGAGATTCAATGCTGCAGGAGGCAGAGAGCAGAGCCTGGGAAGAGCTAGTGCTTAGCTTCTTTCCAGACCCCAAGGACCAGAGTAATGTGACCCGGCCCAGGGGGTCCCTGCCTGGCTCAGAGGTGGCTCCAGGGCTTCCCGCGACCAGGCCCCTTCCCTTTGGGGGTGGGTGGCCCCCTACCTTGGAGTTCAGCATGATCTCTGGGGCCCGGTACCAGCGCGTGGCCACGTATTCTGTCAGGAAGCCAGTGTGGTCATGCTCGGGGTCGGCGATCCGGGCCAGGCCAAAATCGCAGATCTGGAATCCAACCGGGGCTGCTGAGCTTGGCGCTCAAGGCCTCCCCGCCCAAGCAGTCATTTCGCCATGCCCCTGCCCATGCGTTCCCCTGGATGGCAGTGCCCTCCTACTCTGGGGGCTAGGAGTCAAATGGAAGCCCCAGACCCCGGCGGGAGGAGGGAACAGGCACTCAGTCCCGACCTTAAGGTCGCAGGTGGTGTTGATGAGCAGGTTGGAGGGCTTTAAATCCCGGTGAAGCACGTTAGCCGAGTGGATATACTTGAGGCCCCGCAGGATCTGGTAGAGGAAGTAGCAGACGTGGTCGTTGCTCAGCTGCTGGCTTTTGAGCAACTTGTACAGGTCTGTCTCCATCAGGTCCTGCACAATGTAGCTGAGGATGGTATCGGAGACCCCACAGGTGGGGGCAGCGGGAGGCACTTGGTTAAGAAGAACGGGCTCTGGTGACTAGGCTTTGCATGCCCTCCAGCTGGCGCCCCTCAGACTCAACAGATCTGCCAACCCCTATTACAGGCTGGGCAAGGCCCAGGCTCTCAGCCTCTGCTGCATCTCAGCTGGTGACCTGAGCAAAAGCACTTCAGTTCTGCAGGGCAGGAGAACTCCAGCGAAGAGCAGCAGCTCTGGGGTTAACCTGCTGGTGTCTGAAATCCCCACCCCCTGCTCATTGGTTTTACCACCTCACCCTGTCTGCACCTCTATTTCCTCGTCTGAAAAGTAGGAAAAAGAATGGTTCTTTCGAGAGTGGTTGTGACGATGAGATGAGATGACCCATGTAAAGAAGCCAGCGCAGTGCCTGGCACGCTGTAGGTGTTCAGCAACATGAACTCGTGTTGCTAGTATAAATGCCTGAGCCACATGAGGGTTAAATGAGATAATGTATGCATACCATCTGGCATGCAATAAATGTTTGCTTAAAAATAAATGCCTACCTTATGGGAATGGTTTGTGCAAGACAAATGAGGAGACACTCCCAACAGCACGCTCCTGTTCAAAGAGTGCTTGGCCGTGCATCAGAAGAGAGGAGTAAATGTCCTTAGATAATTTAAGATGACACTTGCATGCATGCACACACACACACATGTCTCTTGGCTTGTCTCTACAAGAATAAGGGCTGTCTTCTAGAATCAGCCCCACTGGGCCTTCTGAGAACATGCGGGCCAACCCTGTCTTATAGATGAAGATGCTGAAGGTCACACGGCAAGCTGGGAGTGAGCGTGGCGGTTTCCTGCGCGCAGTTTGTGGTGGGGGCCTGCAGACGCTGCGGTGCCAATCCCCATGCTTGGGTGGAGAACTGGGACTGACTAGGGTGGGTGGAGTGGGCGAGAGGTGACAGTATTAGAAGCTGCTAACAACAGAGGCAGGCAGGAAGTGGACAGCAAACTAGGAAAGTGATATGGGGGGAGGGCAACAAAGGCCAGGCTGTCCCTCCCTGGGCAAGGTGCAAGGCCACAGGTGACTGGGTGGGACTCCCAGCAGGAAGTCCTGGAGAAAGGACAGGGTTTCTTTTGGGGGAGGGGCAGAGGCAGCAACTGAAGGCTTTCTGAGCCTCAATCTCCTCATCTACGAAAGGGAGCCGAGACCTGTCTCATCGGGCAGGTGGGAGGTAGAATTCGAAATGTGAAAGCCCTGGGCAGGCACAGCGCCTGACGCATAGTAGGCCCGCAGAAAGGGGCAGCTTTCTTCTTGCCTCCCAGGCTGAGGACCCAGAGGGGAAAGAACCGTCTGTTAAACAAGAACTGGCTGTGGGCAGAGGCTGGGTCCTGTCACAATATTGGACATATCAGGAGACAAAGCCCCATAGAGGCCATCTTGCCCAGACCCCACAGAGGCACAGCAGAGAGAGCAGCCGTGCCCCAGGCCACACTGCCTGGCTGCAGCAGGCAGGATTCACCCGAGGCCGCCCGGCCCTCCGACCTCCTGTGGCCTCTTTTCCCCTAGGTTTCTCTCACTGGGCTAGTTCTGGAGGGTGACAGGGAAGAAGGAAACAGAAAGAAACCCAATGTTCTCCCAGCCCAGCTCTGAGGCCGCCTGGACAGCCAGCTGGCCAAGGTGAAGGATACACGTCCCTCATGGCATCCAGGGTAGGTGCCCGAAGAATGTCTCGTATGCTGATGACATTCTCGTGGCGGAAGCGCAGCAAGATCTGGATTTCCCGCAGCGTGCGCTGGCAGTAGGTCTGGTGCTCGAAGGGGCTGATTTTCTTGATGGCCACGCGGGTCTTGCGGACGTGGTCGTAAGCTGAGCTGAGAGGGCCAGAGAGGTGGTGTTGGTGTGGTCCTACAGAGGGGGAGGCCAGGCCGGCTGGCCCCACCCAGGCCGTGGCCGGGAAGGGAGGGAGCCGGAGAGGGCTCTGGCCAAGTGGTAAACAATGCTGGTTCCTTCCTGCTGCGAAGGCCTGCGCTCTCCAGGGAGAAAGCTGGGGACCAGCCAGGCAGCCCTTCGGTGACTTCACAAAGAGAGGAAGAGCGGCCGCTCAGACTTCCCCTCTCTGCAGCCCGCTGGCTTCCAGCGGCCCTGCCCCGCCCCGTGATGGGCTCCCGCAGCCTGGACAGGTCGGGGGCTGGGAGACGAGTGCAGGGCACACAGTGAGGCAAATACCGGGGGAAGGAGGGAGTCACGGGGGCTGGAGGGAGGGATGAGGCAGGCAGGGCTGTCAGGGCAGCAGAGCTGTTGCCCATGAACAAAGCCCAGGGCACACCGTGGGGAGGGGAGAACGCACAGCCCCCCCGAAGTTGCGGGAGGCGCTCCCGGCCCAGCCCAGCCCAGCACTGCCCAGCCCCGTGCGCTGCTCGGCTCTCCCGAACCCCTCGCCGGCCTCCCCGGGGGCACCCCAGGCATCCCCCCCAGAGGAGGGTCCTCACTCCCTCTCCACGAAGGGTAGCACCGTCCCAGACCCCATTCTCCCCACCGCACCCCCGTGCACAGGGCCCCGGGCCCCGCAGCTCCCCCACACCCAGATCGCCTCCCTTCACCGCGGAGAGGTCGGTTCAGGCTCCAGCCCCTCCTGGGCGCACGCAGAGGTCCTCTCCCCGGGCGCTCCCAGCCCGGCCGACCCCCGCCCCTCGGGGCGCTCGGACCTCAAGGCGCGGAGAGCACCCGGCACCCGGGCCCTCCCGGCCCGCAGCCCCCGCCCCGCCGCTGCCCCCGCCAGGCGCCCTGCCCGGACGCCCCTCACCTGACCATGCCGTACGCGCCCTCGCCGATGTACTGCAGCTGCGAGTAGCGCGGGCCCACATCGAACGGCTGCCCCTTCACCACCTCCACGTCCCCCGCGACCCCCGGGCCGACCCCCTCGGCTCCCCGGGGCTCCCCGCCCCCGCCCCCCTGAGCCGCCGCCGCCGCCATCTCCACTCCTCCTCCCGCCGCCCGCCTCTCCCCGCGCCCCGCCCGCCTCTCCCCGCGCCCCGCCCGCCTCTCCCCGCGCCCCGCCCGCCTCTCCCCGCGCCCCGCCCGCCTCTCCCCGCGCCCCGCCCCTTCCCGCCGCCTTGTCACCCGCGGAGCCGCGCGCAGGCCGGTCCCCGCGCGTCCCCGACCCGCGCGGCCCCGCGGCCGTCACGTGGCCCCGCGGGCGCGCGCGGCGTTCCCACGGCTGGTGCCCGGCCCCCGGCGCCGCGGTCGCGGTCGCGGCTGCGGGGCTCCCAGCGCTCCCGCCTCCCGCCTCCCGCCTCCCGCCTCCCGCCTCCCGCCTCCCGCCTCCGCCTCCCGCAGGACGGCCCGCCCCGCCCGCCTTTCGCGCACCCGGCGGGGCGGCCGGGAAGCTGCCCGCGGCGGGGACTGGGTTTGCTGGAAACACACCCGGAGGCTTTTCTCAAAAACAGCAAAATAGGCAACATTGCTGTTGTCACTGGAGTTTGCAAAACTGAAATCCTGTCAAGATGGCTTTTTTATTGAATGTATTGGGGCGCCATTGGTTAAAATTATATAGACCATTCTATAATATGCATCAGCTGTAGATAGTGCTGTGTGTTCACACCCCAAGTCTCCTTCCATCACCTTTTACCCCCCAATCCTCTCTTCTACCCCACACCCTCTTCTGCCTCCCGCAGCCTCCGTAAGACCGTCATCTTTGATTCTATGCTAGACTTTATAGTTTGCACACGCATTTGATCGCTTCCGTTTCTTCGGACAGCTCCACAATCTGGGGGTCACCTTATGGCTTTAGCTGGACGAGTGGGGCCATGTCTGTCTTGTTCCCCGGTTTTGCAGATGGGGGACCTGGGAGTTGGGGAGCTGAGGCTCAACAGGATATCTTCTGGCACAGAGGCAGGCAGGGCTCTTTTTAATTCCATTCTGTCTCCCAGAGTCACAGACCGTCAACAGTGAAGACCCGGCCCTCAGAGACGTCAGTCCAGCCCCTTCACTTCGCAGGGAAGAGGGAGCTGGTGTGCTCGCTTCGGCAGCACATGTACTAAAATTGGAACGATACAGAGAAAATTAGCATGGCCCCTGCACAAGGATGACATGCAAATTCAGGAAGTGTTCCATATTAAAAAAAAAAAAAAGAGTAAAAAAAAGATGGGAGCTGGAAGCTTCAGAAAAACACATTTGCTGGCCTTCAGTCAGTAATCGCTTTGTTTCTTTCTTCCGAAAAAGCTGGGAGGAGGCCCTTATATGTATTATAGATCAAGAGACAAAGTGGGCCAGTAATTATGATTCTGAAATTGCTCATAATTGGATCTATGACCGGGCACTCTAATTCAGATTAATGAGACCAAGTTGCTGGCTCCCAAAAGCCCACAAGTCAGTGAAGGTTCAACAGGTGCTAATTAGATCAGTGCTTCAAAAAGTTATTCATTTGATAAGCCGTTGACTGGCACTGTGGGCAGAGCTCCGAGCTGGGTGCTCTGGCTGACGGAAGGTTACGGTACAGTGTGAATTAGTGGTTAAGAGCCAGAGCTCTCTGGAGCCGGATTGCGCAGGTTAGAACCCCACCTTTGCCATTTACTCACTGTGTTACCCTGGGTGGATTATCCACTGGCCTCTCTACTCGTGGAGTTTACCTCTGATTATTGAAAAGATGCACATACATAAATCGATTTAATACAAGATACATGGATGTGATATAGGTGTGTGAGCCGGGGCTGGGTGAGGTCACTCTAGAGACGTGAGGAGGGAGTAAGGGAGGAGGTGGCACTTGGGTCATTGAAGAAGAAGTAGGGTTTCGGAAGGTCGGGGCAGAGGAAAGGCATCAAGAAGAAGGAGCCGCATGAGTCCCGGCCTAGAGGCAGGAGCACGATTGTCCGGTGTGGTGCAGTGTGAGGGATTAAGGGGAGTTCAGGCTGGGCAGGTGGGTTGAGGCCAGATTGAGGAAGGCCTTGGTTTCGGGCCAGTTTAGATGTTAGTCAGGAAGCAGGAAAAGCCTTCGGGGGACTTTTGCTCGACCATTTTGCAACGTCAGGAGAATACAGTGACTCAGAGAAACGCCATGATTTCAGCATGGAGCCATGTTTCCTGAATGGGAGTGAGTGTCCTGCCTCAGGCGAAGCTGGTCTATCCAGAGGGGTGCCTGCCACCTCATGCTGTGTCTTACTCTCCCTCAAAGGCGTGTGACTGAGACTCCCCTCTCGTGGCCGAGGCTGGTACTTCCTTGGAGACTGGAGTGGGATTTCTCTATTTATAGATTCATATTCAACTTATAAATATAGACTGAACATCTGTTCTGTGCTAGGCGCTGTCATGTACTTTATCTCCTACCGTTCTCACAGCAGCCACATGAAGTGGATAGTATGAACATTTAACGGGGGAAAGCAGAGTGTACTGAGCTATGGAGTTGGAAGAACTTGAAAGAATCATTTTCTCTGTCACGTGGTTCATCCTCTCACAGCTCACTGCACTGCTTGAGTTTTTCGAACAGCTGCCACTTGGCTTACCTCTGTCCTCTTCGATCGACCTGGACTAAGTATTAGATCAGTTCTTGCCGGGGTCCAGCCCCAGCGGGTCCAGGGGTCCCCAAAGGTGTGGATGGAGTCGGCGAAGAAGGAATGGCACGGAGACAGCATTCAGTTGATCAGCAGCCTAGCCAGGATCTCTAGCCAGGATCTCCATCCAAGTTCTGGTCTGGATCTCCAGCGAAGTTCTGCTTCAGATCTCCAGGTTCTCCAGCCAGGTTCTGTAGCCATGTTCCCTCGCTAGGTTCTCCAGCCAGGTTCAGTCACCAGGTTCTAGTCAGGTTCTCTTGCCAATTTCTGTAGTCAGGTTCAGTCCAGGATCTTTTGCCATGTTCTCTCCAGCGAAGTTCTTCTGTCTGTAGGTTCTGTGTAGGTTCTGTCTTCTAAGTTCTGTGTTCTAAGTTCTGTGTTCTAAGTTCTGTCTCTTGCTGTCTTATTACATCTGTATTTATACCAGTTGATTCAATCCTATCAATCTCTATTACAAAGGTTAGGGCGTTTCTTATCTCCATTCCAGGGAGTAAAGATTATGTAGCTTAAGCATGATTGTTCGTAGTTAAAGTGATTAATTACCCACCTGGCACTAGTTAAGAGGTTTTATTCCCTCCCTAACTTCAGGGGAAAATCCCTACCTGGGGAAACAACCTTTCTCAGAGACCTTGGTTAAAACACATAGTGCCAAGAAGGTGAGCAAACATATTAAGAACAGTATGCTATATATGCCAGGTCCCTTGAAACAGCAAGAATGGACCGGCTCCCGGCAAGTTCTTATCTGTTTGTGATGTCAAGGTCACAGGGGAGGCCAGTGGGTAACTTGCCCAGGGTAACACCCATTCCCATTTCGTCAGCACCAACTGAGAAAGCAGCAACTGTGCAGGAATAGGGGTCAGAACACATTTAACAATTTATTAAGTTTTAATTACCGACCATTTTTTTCAACCCCAAACCCTCTGTTACAGAAGTACCTTGAGACATTCCTTCCTATACTAGAGATTAGCTGTGACCAGACATGTCCCCTCTGGCAAAGGCTTTCTTCAGCTGCTACCTTCTCTGAAATCTCTGTGGTTAGCTCTGCCTGCGCCCCGGGGCCCCTTCCCTGGGCTGTCCTCACCAGCCTTTTTTTCTCCTGTGGATGAAAAGGGACCACATACTGAACCTGACAAGCTCAGGGAAGGCCTGCGTGTGGGTCTGGCAAACTCGGAGACCTAAAGTCACCACAAAGGATGGTTTGAAATGAAAACTCTTTCACTAAAAGCTGTTTATGGCAGGTAGTCATGTCCTAGGCTAGACTCTACCCCTGCGAAGGTCATCTTCACCTTAACTAAGCCTGTCTATTGTCTTTTGCATCTACAATAACATTCCTCTGGAATGTCTAGACCCCTTTTTCTAGACTCCTCAGGGCACAACCAGTGCACCAAGGCAGAGAGCTCTCACTGTTATTGTTGCCGTGTTAGTTATTGACTGTTAACTATCCTGTACCCACCCATGTAAAAGAAATATGTGTCTATCATTTTACTTTTTATACAGTCCCAGAGGTTCCCCCTCCTCGATTTCTCCCACCTCCCTAACCTATCACCAATGGATTTCATGTCCCACATACGTCTCTTCTGATTGTAATCTCTCTCTATAAAAGCCTAAGTGACCATTACAACAGAAAGACCAGAACGACCGGTCGACCGGTCACTATGACGTGCACTGACCACCAGGAGGCAGACACGCAACGCAGGAGCTGCACCCTGGTGGTCAGTGCGCTCCCGCAGCGGGAACGCCGCTCAGCCAGAAGCCGGCTCCCGGTTGGCAGCTGTGGGAGCCGTGCCCGCCCCGCCTGGGGCTCCTCCCTGGCCGCCTGCCCCTTCGGCACTGCTACCTCCCTGGGGGGGGGGGTGCCCCCCGAGGGGTCCCAGATTGCGAGAGGGCGCAGGCCAGGCTGAGGGACCCCACCTGTGCATGAATCTGTGCACCGGGCCTCTGGTGTATAAATTAAGGTGCAAAACTACCATTATCTCAGTCTGATGATATTCTGCTTCCCAGCAACTGTGGACAGTTTGGCTCAAATAAACTCATAAAAATTCTCCGTAGGTTTGAATGTTTCTTACATCGACACCCCACAGTGTCTCCTTTAGTTACATCATATTCCTGCTGTGACAGCTTGTTCCTGTACGTAAACTCTCTAGCCTTAACCATTGCCTTCCTGTACGTAAACTCTCTAACCTCAGCCATTGCCTTTCTGCCGCCCCAGTTCGGTTCCTTGTTTGCTGAACAGCGCCACCTGGAGGCTATTCGACGTGTAAGCTTCAGCATGTCCAATGGACACGCCCTTTTACCCCCAAACCCATTTCTCTTCCAGACTCTCCATCCTTTTCTTTTCTTTTTTAAAAAAATATATTTTATTGATTTTTTACAGAGAGGATGGGAGAGGGATAGAGAGTTAGAAACATCAATGAGAGAGAAATATCG